GTTCTCATCAGAAAACATGATTCTTCTTATGCTACTGAGTTATGTTCATCTGTATGACACTAAATTGAATTGTAATCTTTTATCATAATAGCTACACATGGAATCAAAGTAATGACAGATAATAGCTAGAATTTCTTTTGGGCTTTTCATTCTAGGAGATCAAACTCTTAATTCTTAAACTCTTAGTTCTTGTTAAAACACAAAAATAATACCTTCATCCTGAAATGTGCAAATTAGGAGAGCAGAAACCATATAGTCGTAAGAATTCTTCATGGGAGAATTGGAGAATTTTTAGCTAAACTTTGTTTATACTAAGAGCCATTTGAATAAAGAAAAAATGCATTATCATTGATTTTAGTAGAAGAGTCACTTGAATAAACTTGCATACAGAGGTCAAGTATATTAAGTTTAATAAATGTTAGTTCATAAAAATACTATTTCTAGTTAACTATTGTATAAGAATCAAACTGTTTCAGCTTTGAATATTTTTTTCTGAATTGGAAGGTGAAATACAAACATACATCAAAGAAACAAAGAAATAAGCCTAGTTGCCTATGACATTTGTCTGAGTTCACATACAAAATTTCTGATACCTTTCAGAAATGCAAGCAGCACTGTAACCAGTTTGATTAAATATTAAAGAAGACACATAGTCCTCAAATTCAAATTCAATTACCAAATCAACAAGTATTTGTTGTACTTAATAAGACTCTCATTTTGTACTTGTTCCTGGAATATAGTGATATACAAGACTATCAAACCACAGAACTAAACTTGACTAAATAAATACTCATTTGAAGTTTAAAATGCAAGCAAAAGCAATTACTACTGCATATTGTCAAGCAAAATTTAAGTTGTAAAAGGCCACTGGAAAATAGACAGTCACAACAGAGCTACTAGGACTTCTAGAGAATGAAGTTCTTTTCAAAGTCAACTCAGGCATGCAGGACATTAGGAACCCAGGGCCCCACCTACACAATACTTCTAGCTGAGGCTGTGGTGATGGTGACCAAACCAGGGTCTGAAGAATGGCAATGTGGAACAAAAGATGGACCCAGAGGAGTGTGACACAGGATGCAGCAGTCTGTTCTAACTTCCTGGTAGCCCAGACATTCTGAGCTTGGTTGTCTACTTGTTGCCGCTAGCTGAGTGGGGATGGACTTCATCCCATGGAGAGGAACCTGGGAGCACGCCGTGAGGGGCAGCCTTCCACATGCCAGAATCCTTTATGCAATGTCTGTGCTTACGGCTTAACTCATTGTTTTTTAATCAAGAAATAACCCATTAATGTATCCCTATATGTATTTATAACAGTAAAGCCCATAAAACTTAAATATACAGTTTAAAATATTTTATTTTTATATTATGAGTATGCATGTAAGTGCACCCATGTCATGCAGTGTCCACAGAGGTCAGCAGAGGGTGTAGGATCCTCTGAAACTGGAGTTATGGACAGATGTCAGCTGCCATATGGGTGCTGGGAATTGAACCTGGATCCGCTACAAGAGCAGTCAGTGCTCTTAACCATTGAACCATCTATCCAGCCCCAAATATTCAGTTTAATAGATTGCTATAAATGTGCAACTTGTTTAAATGTTCAGCTAGTTATTCTACTGGAATGTTTCTTCATGTCCTTTCACAGGCAATATGGCTATATCATTTTTAATCCTTAAATATATCTTCAAAATACCACACCAGAAAAATTATTTTCATACTGAAAATAAAATCAGACCCCAAATAACCATATTTTTATGGTGTTAGTTTTGCGCAGTCAGATAATACGTTGATGTTACTTTAATAAGTACAGTCTTTCATTAGTAGAAAAATGTCAAAATATTTAGAGTAAGATGGCTATATCATTTTTAATCCTTAAATATATCTTCAAAATACCACACCAGAAAAATTATTTTCATACTGAAAATAAAATCAGACCCCAAATAACCATATTTTTATGGTGTTAGTTTTGCGCAGTCAGATAATACGTTGATGTTACTTTAATAAGTACAGTCTTTCATTAGTAGAAAAATGTCAAAATATTTAGAGTAAGAAATAGATTAAGTCTAATAAAAAATACTAAAATTATAAAAAGCAAAACCATCTTATTCCCCCAAGAAATTTCTGTCTCGTCTGCAAGTTTACTGTAGTATTTTTTTTTTTTAAAATAACTGTGTAAATAGGTCTTTCTGAAGTGGTAAAACATGTTCATTTAGGGACTTGTTATCTGTGCTTTTCCAGATTTAAAACAGTACTGGAAAATACAAAAAGCTCTCACATTAACCTCTAAGAAAGTTCTGTAGATAGGATAATGCTGTTTTTTAATAACTGAGAAAAGACAGCACTATATTATAATACACTACAGATTATTTACATACTTCATGTGTATAGTAGACCCCTCATCTGTAGCAGATGTGTTCCTAGAATCCCAGTATCTCTGGGCTAACATCAAATTCTGTAGACAGTACTTTTTCTACACACACACACACACACACACACACACACACACACACACACACCCCTATAATAAAGTTTAATATAAATTAGGTATAGTAAAACATTGTCAATTATATTAAGTAAAATAGAACAATTATAGTATACTGTAGTGATTGCTAACATTACTGGTCTTATACTCTTAAGTCATTATTAAATAAAACAAGGGTCACTTGAATGCAATGACTACAATAATGTCATAGGTGATCTGATAGCCAAGGTGGCTACTAAGTGATTAGACAGGTGGGCAGTATATTCACTATGGATACATGAACAAAGGGATGAATGACTCAGGTCCTGAGCAGGATAGAACAAGATGGTATTATGTTTCATCATACTACTCTGAATGGCATGTAATTTAAACATGAATTGAGGTCTAGAGAGATGGCTCAACAGCTAAGAGCTCTGGCTGCTCTTGCAGAGAACCAGGGTTTGGTTCCCAGAACCCACATGGTGGTTAAAGGCTATCTGCAACTCAGGTTCCCTCTTCTGGTCCCTGTTGGTATTGCATGCACCGGATACACTTAAATGCATGTAAGCAAAACACTCATACACATAACGTTAAAATAAATAAATTTTTAAAAAATGTATGAACTGTTTAGTTCTAAATTTTACATTTACTAGTTTCAGACCATGATCCACCACAGGTAACTTAAAACATGGAAATCAAAACCTCAGCTAAGGAAAGAATACTGAATATGTTCTTTAAATTCTCACAATAATAAGTAAGAGTGATCTGTTATTTCCTGTGATGAATGACTGCTTTTACTATTTGCCCAAAACTAAAGAACAACTGAAGGGCAAGATGAAGATCTGAACTCAGATCATCAAAGGCCAGAGTCCTTCTCTTACTGTGTATATCACCATCAACCTGAGATCCAGAGATCTAGCAGACGGATGAAATCATTACCAAGGACTCCTACAAATGGACACCTTCTTGGCATACTTTGGAGATTTTGAAAATATTCTATGCCTCATGCTAGGATAAAATTCCATGATCTGAACAAATTTTCCCAGAATCTAATATCAGGTAAAATTTGTTAACATGCCTTTATTGATATCCAGATGGACAAAATGACCCCAAAGTAGTCCATGCAAAAGCAAGACCATGAATAAGAAGCTTTAAAGTGTTAGAATCACTTCAGCTTTTCTTTTCCATTACAGAAATATAGCATTATTCAGTCTGGTAGCCTGGCACGAGTGCTTTCACATTTACAGGTTTTATAAATCTGGAAAAACACTGGCAACATATACCTGATGTGCTATGCCATTAAATTCTAAAACTCTAACTCTTGATTTGAAATTAAAAAAAAAAAAAGAACTATTTACATACGAGAAGTCTCTGCATATATTTTTCTCCTTTCTTTCATTAGGGTTGCTTAATTGTTTCTTAACTATCATGAGAAATCTTAATATCTGAATAGAATAAATAGTTTTTTTCCATCTGTGAAGATTCTTTATTATTCTCATGAGTCAAGGGAAAAGTCTTTATTGCCTGCACAAATCAAGAGAAAAACAAATGCTAATTGAGCAGATTGATGGTTAGATGGAGAAAAAAAAGATGAAAGGGAAGATGCCAACATAAACAGGGTATGGCTATTCACTGCTACCCCAAGTGGATCAGCTATGCTCACAAACTGCATCCAAAACTAATTCTGCCAACAAACCACTCGGAGGAGCAGTCTCTGAGGAGGCTCACACACACACACATGCAGAGAGCATTTCCTTACTTCTTTTGCTGTAATAGACAAAGCAGCGATCTTCCCTTGATGGACCAGCCATTCTTAAATTAAGGACTATATGCAGAGATACAGGCAACTTCTCCTCATGCTAAATACCAAATATTTAAAGATGACAGTATGTATTTTTTTTTCTTCTCGAAACTAGCTAACAAGTCATGGTAGGTAGGGTCAGTAGGCACTGTTCTGATCGCTAGCCATCACAGGCATAATTTCGGGGCATTTGTTGAATCAAAAAGGGAAATTAAAATGCCGCTGAACTGTTCTCCACATGTTTGCTGATATATCTTTGAATTAGCTCTGTTCTTTTTAAATTAGAACCAAAAATAAGTTAAATGTTCACCCAACTGTTTAGACTCAGACCACAGTTGAACATGTTTGTCTATCACATGAAGTAGCAGAGGTTTTTTAAGCAAGTGACTTGCTATTTTGAGCTGCTATTGCTGAGTTTTTCTTAATAGACTGATCAGCAACCTAAGATCTCTCAGGTAGTAAATGCAGAAATAAGCCCGTCTAAGGTTTTCTAAGTCCTCCTTATTCCCATAAAAAGATTCCTTCAGTCAAACACCAGTTGATGGGAGGTAGGACCCTATTTTGTGTTAAAGGCACCCAAGTGAGCCAGAGAACTTGGCTGGAGGTTTAACTGGGCCCTACTACAAAGGCTCTGTAATAGAAACGCCACATTTAATTAGCCTGAAGCAGAGAACACAGCTCTTTCATTTTGGAGAGGAGAGAGTGGAGTTTAAAAAATAATAAGTAAAACAAACCTCTTACCTTTTGTAGCAATTCGTACACATTGGGTCTTAGTTTCCTGGTGGAGTAAAAATGAAAGAGAGTAATTAATATGTAGGTGGCATTTTCTGTTTCATAAACTATTATAAATACTATAAAAATCCTGTTAGAATTAGAAAATAGAATTATAACCATAGATTTATAATAATAAATGATTTTTTTCTTGCTCTATATTTCAGAGAATGTTTGAAAACTACAATAAAAACTTTAAGAAAGTTCCTAGTATTTTCTTAAGATGTAAATCTGTTTTCATTTTGTAATGAAACAAGCTAGTACTGCAGATATGTTGTGTGGCCTTCTGTTTGCATTTTTTGGTTGCTTCTTAAGCTATTAGAAAGAAATATGTACCTGCAAAGCCAATGCAAATCAGTACCAGGTATAAATTTAATTTTCACCTGATAGCTGCAGACCAACTAAACCCGAATATTAACTACTCTCAGTGGAATCCTACATGACTAAAGACTTTAATGATGGTTGTTAGAGACATCATCAAAATGTGGCACAGCAGTTTAAATGCAATTTATTTGTTTTCTTTTTTTTTTTTCCCTTTAAATTTAGCTGTGAGGAATTAAAATGTTTTTCAACAAGGGTTACAGTGGTAGCTTGAATGAGAATGCTGGCCACATGCTCAAGTGTTTGAACTTTGCTCCCAGTGGGTGGCACGGTTTGGGGAGGTTTGGGAGGTGCTGCTTAGTTGGGGGAAGCAGTCACTGGTGGACATTGAGATTTCATAACTTTGCCTCACTTTAACTTTGCTCTCTCTGCTTCTTGCTCTGGCTGCCTCCTGCCATGCCTCCACATTGGACTCTTATCCTCCAGGAAGAGTAAGCCAAATAAACTCTTCCTCCCATTGCCTCAGTCATGGTGTTTTATTACAACAACAAAAGGTAAGCAACAGTTATTTTCTACCTCTTGCTATTCAGGTAGAGTAGAGAAAGTAGAAACAAAGGGAGGTAAATGACAGGAATCATTAAGGTTTTGGGGTGGTAGCAGGAGACACAAGTCCCCACAAGCTAGTCCCAAGCCCAGGTCTCACTATAAGACAAGTTCTTCAGCCGCTGTCTGTTTCTGCCTTTTCATTTTTTCTGACAAGGTCTTGTTTCATTGTTCTGGCTATCCTATAGTTTGTCTGGGTCTCTTGCCTTGGCCACCCTAGTGATGAGGTTATAGGTATCCAGTGCTTTCAGTATTTATGAATACTCAATAGGCCAGAGGAGGTCTCACAGACAGTGAGAAGAGCTGGTTGATGGATCCACCTTGACCTGACTATAGCCATGTGCTCATAACTGTGCCCCCCCTCCCCCAGACACACTTACAAAGCCAGCAGAGTATGTCATCCTAGTCACTGTCAACCTGGGCTGTTTCTTACAATGAACACATAATAGTTATGAAGAAGTGCAAGTACATTATAGTTACCTATGGCTTAGCACATCAACTCCTTTCTTCTGCCACCGGGTATGGACACAATTCTGTCATTAAGATTCCAATAGATTGCTTTCATGAGATCTTGGGTCTGTATCTACCTGCCTCTCTTGTTTCAGTTCTCAGTCTTTCATTCTTGAACTTGTGTTACATACTAGGAAGAGGATTTTTTTCTGAAAAAGGGGCTATTTGTACCAGAGGCATTTGTAATTCCACCTTTAGTAGCTTTATATATTGTTAAACAAAAATATTTAAAAATTCCCTCTCAAGCACTTATTTTGAAACTATTCAAGATAAAGCACTCAGTGAAGAATTTGTAATTAAAAAAGGATTTGAATACTTCTATTATTTGTGACTGAGACCTTCAGAGTAAGCTGCATGAGACTTTTTCATGTTCCTGTACAGGCCCAAAGTGATTCTTATCTCCAAAAAGCAATCTCTGTTGACTCTCTGAAGGCATCCCCGGGCTCTGCTGGTGGGAGCCATATTAATTACAAAACTCTTTGCCAAGAATAGTATGAAATACATTGCTGATATTCTGAACTTTGATCAAATGGTAGTGTTGATTAAGATTGCCCAAGGAAATCATCTATAAATAGCATACCTTCATTAACACTCCTGTCATACAACAGACAGAATGGTTACAATTATCTGGAAACTCTCACCTCTCCAAAGATGACAACTCAAGTCCAGGACTGTCTCCTTCTTGTGTGCTATTTGTATTTAGAATGGGTTAATAATTTTCCTAGTGTTCTGTTTCGATTATCCTAATTAGACCAGTGCTTTTGAAAATATATAGGTGGATATGCTGGTTAGTCTTGTCACTTGATGGGATTTAGAATCACCATGGAAACAATCTCTCGCTTGTCTGTGAGGGATTAACTAGACCAGATTAATTGAGACAGGAAGACAACCAAAATGTGGATGGCAGCATTCCATGGGCTGGGGTTCTGAACTTAGAAAGGAGAGGAAGAGGGCAGAATCCTTCATTGCTCTCTGCTTCCTGACCAAGGACGGATATGACCTGCCACTTCCTTTTCTTGCACTGTACTTCCCCTCTGCACTGTAAATAGAAATAAACCCTTTTTCACTTGAATTGATTCTTGCCAGGTATTTGGCCACAGCAGATAAACTAATATAGTGGGTGTGGCATCTAAAGAATCCTAGTTTAGAGGGAAAAAAAGTGAGAAAAGTAGAGCATCTTCAACTCTGGATCATCTCTGCCCTTGGAGTATATACTGAAAGAGGTCCTGCCATTTTTTGTTCCTGTATACTGTAAGCCAACCATACCAGTACGTGAAAAGATATAGCCTTCCTGTGAAAACAAGAACTCATGTTCTCATAGACCTGTAGAAACAGAAAGGGAGTATGCCTTCTAACTAAACTATTCCAAGATCTAATATGATGGATGCTCTGGATGTCACATATTTCACACCATCTTCTAGGTCTTAGAGACTCAGTTATATAAAACCAACCATTTCTTATGTAGCTACAAAGTCCATAAAATGTCAGTATTAAGGTGGATTTTAAATTGTCCAAGTTTCTGTTCTCAACATTTTTTTTTATCCCTCGCTGCTGAAATATAAATAAATAAAAATAAAATAAGTTTTAGGAAAGAAAATGTTTCAAAGAGAACAGCATGAGGTGCAAAAGGCTAGGTTGTTTCTCCACATCTGTCCTGTTGTGTTTTCCTCTTCAATATTCATTTGGGATCAGCAGCAGTGCTCAAAAGCAACTGTGTCCAAAATGGGAAAAGGAGGGGCAGCCAGAGACACGGCCAGCCGACTTCTGTAAGGGCACAGCAACTGGTCTGCCCAGGCAGCCTTCTGTTTAGGTTCTGTCGGTTGTACCACAGGAGTCCTAACACTTTGTAATCAGAGGATTGCTACTTGTTATTTACTCTTTGGCTTGTGCCCCCTGAAAAGTTTATAAGGGTTTATTAGACCATTGTAGAATGTGTATTCTGTTTATCCTGCAGTAAATTTAATCTTGTGAAGCATGCCACTACTGAGCAAAGGAGGAGGAACAATACTGGAAATTTACTGTGGGTGGAGTCCTGGCATCAGCACACCCACCTTTTCAAATCATTTTACTCACAGTTGCACTGTGGGCTTTCCTGAAGACAGCGCAAGAAGCAGCAGTTACTAGGAAACAGGGATCTTATGAAATGTTCCTGGCATGGAGCCTGAGCCCTTCCATCAGCCCCAACCCGCACATGGGAACACCCCTACACAGCCATTTTATTTTCCTTTCTTTTCAATTTTTTTTTTCCTTGACAAAGGCTACCGAATGTTTATAAAATATGACACTTTACTTCAGACCAAGAAAAAAAAAATCAGTCTTAGAAGCTCACCTTCTCCACACTGCTCATTGCCTGGAAATAGATGTTGTATCCTTTTCGAGGAGCCAGAGGGGGGTTCCAAAAGCCTTGATAGGTCCTGTTGTCACCCACGGTGAAGGGAGCGGGCTCAGGGAGATTCCCTGGGGGCAGTTCTGCAGCAAAGTAATAGGGTGCACCCCCGCTCAGGGCGGTCTGGTATGTGACAGGAACCTGGTAGCACTCCATGGCCCCAGCTTCTCGCTTGGTCCTATGGGGGTGCAGTTCCTCTACAACAATTTGGTAAGCACTATGGGGAAAAGAAAAAATAAATCATGCACACTTAGAAATTAGAGATATTAAAATGCTGGAAAAAAGAAGAAGGTGTTCAAAATGTAGAGGGTGCATCTCAATGCACCTTTGCAACAGCAGTCAGTGCTCTTAACCGCTGAGCCATCTCACACCTAAAGTGCACATTAACCCCAGCAATCCAGCATTCAGCCTCTTAGTCATAAAACTGTTTGTCATGCATTTTGTTCCTCTCAACATCGGCGTTATTAAGAAACCAAAAAAAGGGAGAGAAACCACCAGAAAGCAGTTCACATTTTCAAAGGTTGAGAAATAAGCCATTCTAATAAGGACCCTGGCATTAACCAGAGTCACATCAGCGATAAAGTTCTTTGTCTGATATTTTGAAACATAAAAAGTCAATGTTTTCTTTAGAAAGGCTAGGAGAGAAGACCCAGCTCCAAGGCACAGCAGAATGACAGCCTCCAGGAGAGAGTGGAAGCTACAGACTGTGGCTGTCACAGGCGTGGACAGGCTTCTCCACCTCCTGACCTTGCCTGGGCATCTCCACTGGCTCAGAGCTACACAGATCCAAAGTACAAGTGTCCATGCAACAAGGCGGGCACAGATGGACAGAAATCTGTCCCCACCATGGAAATAGATCATCTCCTTCTTCTGGAGTTGTTAATAATAAAATGTTACAAATTGGAGAAACAGATGGGGTTTGGCCTATTAAAGTGCCAACCTGAACTTCTAATCCTTTTCTTAAACATCTTATAACTTTCCTACCATAGCTGTTATGTTATAGAGGAAATAAAAGGAAATACTGACACTTTGAATAAAGTTCTCTCATAATTATTCTTTATAAGTTTCTCAAAGTCCCAGGTTAATAATATTCTTCTTTTATGGAAAATGCCCCATGGAAACAAAATTTAGGTCAAGTATATCTAGAAAACATATCATTATTAATGTAGTGCACATACATTTAATGTAAGAAAATTAGTATATTTTAGAATTCATGAAAATTGTAGAGAAATGCATTTTGAGAGGTTGTTTAAATTCAGTACAAGTAAGCTGTGTGGAGTTCCATGTAAAATCTTGAGAATCTTTTAGCAAGTGTGTTCCTTCTGTTCTTTCCAGAGGGAAAACAGCTGTTATTCAATAGATCTCAAGAAGGACAGGAATAGAGTTTTCCTTAAGAAACTTCTAGAAAGATGTGTGAGAGAGAGAGGGGCAGAGAGAGGCAGAGAGAACTGAGATATTAGAAAAATGAACTGAAAACAATGTAAGATCGAGTTTAAAATTCTAATTTAAATATAAAAACAAACTGCTGTATCTTAGATGTGAAAGCCCTTTATATAGTCAAAGAAAGGATTCTACTTAATTTATAAATAAAATTTTACTTTCTCCCTAAATAAGCATTTATGTTCGCATTAAAATATTGTTGAGACACTGAGAGGTTATTATCTATCTCCTCTTTTCAGCGGGAACAGAAATTATATTAATGCCAGGGATTGAGATTTGAACAAGTAACAAAGGCAGAAATGTATGCTATTCCAAGTTATAAACACTGTACTGTACTCTACCTCTGCCAAGTTGGGGCACTAAATTTGTAAGGATGATACTGGTGAGACACATGGTCTCTGAGGTATCCATGGAACAAGCACTTGCCAACCTCAAGTTTAGGAAATATGCACGCATAGCCCAAGAAACAAAGAAGGAATGATCAGAGTTGATATACGCTATGTTAAGGAAGCCTAGCCCTTATTTTATTTTTAATTTATAATTCATATTTATGTTACTTGCTTTCATATCCTGTGTATACATCCACATACAAAAATTCATAGATACACATTCTAAGATAAATCTAACTTGATGCTCTGACTTTAATGAACAATAATGACAATTATCTATCTGTATTAATAATTCAAACTAATCTTTGAAAAATAAATTTCTTAAATAGCCTACACATCTAGAAGATCTGGTGTACATTCAATCTCAACTAACGCCATTAAAATGACATATTTTATACTTCATTTTCCTGTTTTAACATTTTGGATTAAATGTTAATTAGGAAATCTTCAAGATAGGCTGTAGGTCTCCAAATTTACTGGGGCAAAGCAAAGTGCTACTGGGCAAGAGAAAAGGAAGGAAAGGAACAGTCTGTACCTAAGACTCTTGATCTGGGTCCACCCCAGATAAAAATCAATAGCTTGGATTAAGTGTTAAGATTTGGCATTATTTCCAATTAAAGAGAAAATTTAAAGTTAGGGATGTTTCTATATGATATATAAATTCAGAAGAATTTCTGTGTATACGTATAATACCCTATTAACATGGTCCTTAATCTTTACTATACACTTTATTTACTTGATAAAGATCATACAAAAATGAAGTGTATCTTGTTACTACCGAGAAGCAGAGGTAAAGAAAAACCGAGCTTTCATTAAACGTTATACTGTAAGTCTTACTTTTTTCCTTCTTGGGTTACGAACTGAATGTTTATGACCCTTTTGCGCAGTTCATATATGTGGACCCTACCCTTCTTCTGCCATATGATGGTACTTGGAGAAGAGTGATCTGGTCTCAACAAAGACTGACTTTTCTAGAACACTGACCTTGGACTTCCCAGCCTTTAGAGCTGTGAAAAATAAATCTAGGTTGTTTCATCCACCCTGAATTTTGTCCTAGCAGTGTAAAGTTGAGAAATATACACATAAAAATTCTTCAGAAAGCTTGCTTCCAAGAATAATGCCTAAATTATTCCTTGTGCCTTGAATGAAATCAGATAGAAAGCAAGATGAGATAACTAGATCTCTCTCTAGCCCCCTCTCACTCTAGACTCTCTGCCCTGCTGAGAGAAGTATTTCTTTATGTAATGCTCAGCTCAGTTTCTGGATATTTTTCAATCTCAACTGCATTTACTCTATAAGCTGATATAGGAGTCATTTAATTTTATATTCAAGTATGGTTTCAAACAGTTTAATGGGCATTTAACTAGGCATTTGTAGAATGAACAAATTGCTTGTGCATTTTATTGGTGATGTTTTTACTTAGTTAGGACATATCCAAAGCACTTATTTTCTTTCCACATGAAATGACTTGTTTTGCCTCAAAAATTCTATTTGAATATGAGAATTTTCTCAATTAGTTTTCTTCCTGATTTTACATCCATTCAACCTTTCATTCACTTCATTCAATAACTAATTAGGGATCAGATGGTGTCACATACACAACAGAGATGCAGAGGTGGGAGGTCCTTACCAGCCTTCCATTTGCTTTTCTATTTTTAAATTTCCAGGGTTCTACTGTTGGGGCTAGAGAGACGGCTTAGTGGTTAAGAGCACTTGCTGCTCTTGCAGAGGACCTAGGTTCAGTTCTCAGCACCCACACGGTGACTGACAATCCTCCCCACTCCCTGCAGCATGATACCCAGTCAGCACCCTAGAAAAGTGAAAAGTGTCTTTCAACGGAACAACACTGGCCAAAGACCTCTGATGGCACTTTACTGTTATTAATGGGCTCAGACTTTAATCACTTCCTCAAGGCATACCCTCTGTGCATCTATTTCCTTCTTCACACACACTGCGGAAGCCTGTGTATTATCTGTATGGAGTTAATTATAATCACAGTAAATTCTTTAAAAGTGCATGCAGTATAAGGTAGCTATCAAAATAATCAAAAACCACTAGGAGAAATATAACTGAACTTTAGACAGAACTCCAAACAACTGATGATAAGATTCATGGTCAAAAGAAATATTTTTCTCCACTGTTCTACTGGAGAGGGTGTTCCTCAACCACATAGTCCCATTTTAAAAACTCTGATTTTTATCCTTGCTCAATTCTTTCTTGTCAATTCAAATTAACCAAAGGAGAGAAAATATGAAAAGTCAAATTAGGTGTGATTTGACAGATAATATGAAATGGGCCTGTGCTTTTACTTTCTTAAGGTTTTCTAATTATTTTATGGTAGTTATCTAAACTTAAGATTAAAGTATTATTAGAACTTGAAATTTGAGTAATTAAAAATATTCCACAAACCTTAATGTTTTTATTTTAGTATTTTACAAAATATTTATATTTATTTTATAAAGTATTTTAACCAAGTTTGCATATTTTCCATTCTTTACAATTAAAAGTTTAAAATATTACTATAATTAAATTAAAATCAATATACAAGAGCTGGGTGTAGTGAGGTAGACTTTCAATCCTAGTACATAGGAGGCAGAGCAGGTGGATATCTGTGATATTGAGGCCAGCCTGGTCTACATAGAGAGTTCCAGACTAACAGGGTCTGAAGGTAGACCCTGTCTCAAAATAAAAAAAAAAATCAATATATAAGTATTACGAGTCTTTATTGAATACTCAAATACGATTTCTTTATGCTTAAAAATTAAAAGTGACATTGAATACTACAGTAAAATTTGATCAAACATTGGTAGAAGTCACTTTTAGTTTTGGCGGGAGGTTGAAGTACTTGGCCCCCTCCTTGGTTTCGAGGCTGAGAAAGCAGAAGCAGATTTGCTGTTGCTCAGCAAATATATGATACACATAGTAAATAGATAGTTTTCCTGATTTAATGCTTATAACTGTGGCGCTGGAACTAAAATTACCTGTAACAGTCTGCTTGGGATTTAAAAAAAAAAAAAAGCCCATTACTAAGTAAATCCTCTGTGAATACAGTTATAGTTTCAGGTTATACAAACTCTTACTGAATGCAAAATAACAAATTATACAATAGTATATAAATCACCTCATTTTAATCTAGCATCTCTCCTTAAAGTTTCAGGAGAAATCCCCCAGCTCCAAAGTTTTACTATTCCTTGTAAAAACAAGACTTCCCAAGATCCTTTCCCATCGCCACCGCTGATCTGTCCTACTGAAGGCATTTTGACGATCATGTCAACTATAACCCCCGATTACCAAAACATACCCTGCTCTCCATCTATTCATTCCTTAAACCCAAAAGTCACTGCTTATACTTGAAACCCATTGTTTTCTATTTCTGCAAAGAACTTAT